TATTGCCAATTTTCATTTTGCTGTGTAGAGAACCGATGAAGATGGTTTTTACTTGTCCCTCCGTTGTCTTTGGAGCTATACGACTGCAAATGGTACTATACTGAGTCAAAAAAGAAACTTCACATTCTTTCTTCAGGGCACTATAAAATAACGAGATGGTAAGATGGTTAAATTGTTATTATTTCATTGCTGAGATCTGTGTGATGTAAAATTGTTATTATTTCATTGCGGAGATCTGTGTGATGTACTCGATACACTGACAGTGCCATAATCAGTTCCATTAGGCTACACCGCCATTCCAAAACATGGGTATACAGAATGTCAAGTCACAATATGGACGTCGAGAATGGAAATTGGCAGCCCGCAACCGATTTCGAATGGTCTGTGAGGGTCAGTGGACCTCGAAACATGTCAGCCCTGGTTCGTGTAGCCGGCAGAAATCTGTCACGTAGGTGACGTAGGACGATTTGACGGTCTTCTGCTCGTGACGTCACACGTGGACGACCCGACCTTGGGCTATCAGAAGTGGTGCCAGTTTGTTGTAGACGACCTCGCAAGTCATACACAGTACGACGGCTGCATCCCATTGCTCTTGCGACGTCAATAACTGATCTTCCCGCTTGCAACATGCCAACGGCACGTTCACGCTGCACATTTGACAATCGTGGCATTTCAAGTACCGTTAGAACTGTGGTTTAAAAGTGTTTTTTCGATTCTTGAGGCCAATGCAAACACGTGCATATGACGAAAACTTCGATGCGAAGATCACGTGATCGACTGCACGTGCAAAACCTGATTTGGCACTAATGTCATTTGCACGACGAATTGATGGGTTTGAGTGGGTTTTGCTAACGTTTTTCTAGAGTCGAAAGATAGGGATCCCATTTCGGATACATAGATGTATCATCAGGGAAAAATTATTCATTATTTTTCAAATTACATTTTGTGAAGTTTCTTTTTTGACTCAGTATATAAACGGAACAGATAGCTTACATGCACAGGCTAATTTTGTTCGAAATCAGACAGCTGCTTTCAGAGTTACAGGTGTTTGAAGTGTATGTGGGTGCTAGAAATCACCAAAAACACCTCCATCACACGCGAGCGGATCTCTGAAATACAGTCAAGGTCAGGTGTTGATGCGCCTAGTAAATAGTTACGGAGGAGGAGGTCCCTCTTGAACTGTCTGTATCTGTTGTACCTGTCAAAACAATTAGTGTTCTAGACTTGACAGGACCTGAGCTATCAGATGCACCCACTCAACATTTTATACCGTTTTTGAATGTGTTTTTTTCAGTTTTCACATGGTAGTTTTACTATTGATGAAAATCGTTAAGAAGTCTGTGATTTTTTTTAAAGAGAACTTTGCCTCAGAAGTAGCACTCAGTATGGCGGCCATCGAAGGTACATGTGGTCACTTTTTGTGCTCGGTGTGTAGAGTACTTCCTGGACTTAAAGTATTGAAATTTTGGAAGCTCTGCAGATGATAGTTCGATCTCAGCACATTTTGGGAGGAAACTACTCAGAAAACTTAAATGACATGGCTAAAACCTTGTAGCTGTTAAACAGGGCATGTTTGCGACTCCAGGCAAAATGTTTGGGAGTTCTATTACCCATCTGCAAAGGAAATTTGGAAGTCTTTGAAACCATTGGTTCTGAAGATATTTGCTGTCAAGATTCGCACTTTTCGAATTAATATTGACTTATCTGTGGTCAGTGTAGCCTTGAGAGAAAGACTTCAGTTATAATTTACCTTTTCTTTTGGCATATGTATGTGATTAGTACCAAGAAGGATGTCAAAACACTAATGCATCTTCAAATGCATCAGTAGAGCACCAGTGTCATCATGGCCAAGCTTGAAGGTTTCTGAAAATCATGGAGTACTGAAGAATTCAGGAGGATGGCTTCAATTATATCAAACAGCCTTATCGTGAGATGACAAATGGGCACTTGTAATTGTTCAACTGAGAGCTGGAATAGTCAACAATGTCATCCAACTTTTCAAAGTTCTCTTTAGTTTCATAATACAATATGCACTGGAAAAACAGTGTTCGAATGTACGCGTCCACACCACATACCAGTGTTATGACAGTGTTCCCCAGTGTGCTGGGAAGTGTACATTACGTTCCCGATCTACCATCACCGCTTGTACTTCTGTCTAAACGTACACTCTTCACAAGCCATACTGTGATCAAAGATGAAAGCCTTGAAGTGTTTCCCTCACACAGTATGGATGTATCGGTACATGATCCTTTCATCTTTACACCATCAGAGCTCATACAAATATTTCCCACACTGTGTGCCCTGCACGAACATCGTTCTTTCAGATCTCCCATTAAGCCAATGGTCATTCAAGTGCTTCAAAGGTCAAAGAAAATATGGCCAAGGACAAAGACAAAGGGACTGAAACCTAAGGACTCCTGAACTGAATACACCACAGCAAACAATACCAAACTGATGTGTTGAACCCGATCCTGACTCTCCACACCAAACGTCGTCATCATTTTCATAGGTCTGAAGATATCTCTCCTGAGCCCCTGGGAGTCAGGAGTATTTGCACTGGACTTAACCAGAGTAATCCTTAACTGATGTACAGCCTGCTGGAATACACCTCACTTGATATGACTCGATGTTTAGCCTAACCATGGCTGAGACCTTGAAACAAAGCCTCCAGAAATATGTGTGTCCTAATGTTCCTGTCCAAGCAGAGGACCAACGCAACCCATGTTGACTGTTGAAAGGCTCCTGGGAAGCTTGGATTTTCTGATTTGGTTTGATAACCTGTTTAGGTTTGACACAAAAATGCACATCACAAACAAATCTGAATGACCTGCTAAAGGAGTTTCATGCCAACTCAAAACATGTTTTCCACAGAAAGGTGGAAGAGTAATGTGATGAAACAACCTCCATTCATTAGGTTCTGGCATTTACTTACCAAGATGACATCCGTGAAGTGAGAGCATACTGGAACCATGGCAGCTTACAGAGTGGCCTGTGAAATAATTGGAGTTGTGGGTCCTTCACCTTGTAATCCAGTTAAGTTCCTCCTTCCTAGGTTGAGTCTCCAGTACCAGCTGTCAGAGGTCTTCTCCCTCAACAAGATGGACGGGTCAAGAAAATAATGCATAAAAATACTAGGCAAATCAGGACTAAAATCATTCTCAGAATAATATTCTTGCTTATCCTTAGCTCGAATTGTGAGTGAGTGAGTTAATATTTAACGTCACATCGGCAATGTTTCAGCCATATCGTGACGAGAACAGTTTTGACGTTGATAAAAAATATGTGTATGCCGCAGGAACTACAAAGTCCATTCTGACTAAAGTATTTTATTGCGTGAATGACCTGTGGATCACAACAACATGTTAAAGTTGTTGCCTGACATGGTGTGTGCTGGGCCTCTGACGCATGTAGTTTTTATAGAGAGCAGACATGTGACCTGCCTCTGCAACATTTGCAGGGACTGCATGTGACATATCCCAGGATGTTCCAGTCAGACCACAAGTAAGGTGGGCTGTTTACACCATCATCAGTGAGAGTGCTGGAAAGTATGGCGCAGTGTTAGTGACAGATTTTAGCCTGTGACATGTATATTATATAACATGTCGTCGAAGGACAGTAAAACAACAACATTATCGCAGTTAGATTTAAAACTGGCATGTTAAGTTAAAACAAATAGCATTTTTTTTGACAATGTAAATAAAACAATATATAAATAAACAGGCTATAGATCACCAACTTTTGATATAGCACAAATAACAACACACAATAATGAAATACCTGAGAGTTCCTGCAAGATTTTCAGTACTTTCCAAAGTGCAAGGCTCATAAACAACATCAGGAACAACCAAATATTTGTCATTTACCAGTAAGGAAATCTACACCTTGAACAGGGAGAGTTTCCAGTCACCATCACAACCAATCCAGACACCACATCTGTCTACAAATTCCTGAAATTGAGAGACACGCTAGTAAACCGTCTAAACTTTCTAAACAGAATTCCATCAATGATCTTAAAATAAATACCGATGACTCTCCTTTGTAAGTGACAAAGTATTATCCTGTAGGAAAACTTAAAGAGCACCTGTGATGCAGATACAACTTCAACAACAACAAGTAGCAACTCCTCTCTCACAACAACAGACTTTGATGCCTGCCCTACAAACCTGCAGCGTCAGCTGTCTGATACTCAGAACTCCTGTCATAAGCAAGGCAGATGAATGTCCAAAGTTTCAACCCTAAATCCAATTTGCAACAACATTGTCCATTACTCCTGAAGCCATTTTGAATTGTTGGCAACCTTTTCAAACTGTGATAAAACCTTTTCAAAATCACATTCATATTAATTTTGACAAATAACTCTGTGAGGTATAAATTTCAATCGCCGAGCCTGGAAATTCTGTTTCGTGTTGATTTCCAAACTGTGGAGACAAATGAATTTAAAGTGAAACCACCGAAAAAGAATGAGATGTTATAAATTAACAATTGCATTTAAAATTGCGTAAGTTAACGAATTAACCTACTTCACTCGTTCACTTTATATGGACAGTCGCGTTGGGACAGTGGGCACGTTGCCAGTTTACTGTTGTCATATCGGTGTGGCAGATGTTGTATGATTCACATGAATGAGGATATTGGTTGATCAGCTCAACCTTTAACTATACATCCAACAGCCAATACTTATTGTTGCTTCATTATATTTGACTAGTATAAACAACAAAGTTATATGGCAAAAGACCACAGATTGTGACTCGATAGAAGACCATTACAATCTTAAAAAAGCTCCGCCAACTGATATCACGGGACTATTTTATTTTATATTTCAACAAATGCATACTACATTTCAACAACAGGAAAATGAAAACAGAACATGACTGTATGCAACATCGTGCTACAGTCCAGGTTAAAAAACAAAGTTCAAATAATAGCCACCAGAATTATTTCCTCAAAAGTTTTTTTGACGAATTCATAGACTGGTTTCAGTTTTCAACCTTGGCCCGTGATCCGTAGTCCAACCTCCTGGTTTGTTGGTGACAGATGAACACGAACGCCTTAGCCTACACAAGACCGTCTGGGCGTTTCTTCTCGAGAGGTACGTGTTTTTAGTTTCCCGACTATGGAAAATAGCCATTGGTCTTTTATTATATATATAAACTTAATATTTCAATGTTACACTTTTATGACGAAACAGATCTGTGAAGATCCTGTTAGAATTGATCTTCAGTAACCCATGCTTGTCATAAGAGGCGACTAACGGGATGGGGTGGTCAGGCTTGCTGACTTGATTGACACATGTCATCGTATTCGAGTTGCGTAGACCGATGCTCATGCTATTGTTCACCGGATTGTCTGGTCCAGACTCGATTATTTGCAGATCACCGCTATATAGCTGGAATATTGCTGAGTGCAGCGGTAAACAGTAAACCAATCAAACAACAAAATTATGTCGAACTTAATTCAAAATGGGCACCTATGGGAATCTATTGAAGATATATTGGATCTTTTTTTTAAGCAAGCAAATGCATCATGATGTCTGATCCAGTCCGCAGCAGTCTATGTATGCTGCAGGGCTAAATGAATGGTTAGGGTCCTATGATCACTCACTAGATTGTGTCTTAATGGTATCTGTTTGGAAGGTTGAGTGTATCCAGCTAAAATCCAAATCATATATAGGCAGCAGCACAGTGGTATGTGTCTATATACTAATTTATGGATTTATTACTTATTTATTTCAAATAATTTGTGTCATTATCAGTTCTAATGTATAGTCAACGGTAATTAGTATCTTACATAAATTTATATATTGCTGTGAGCGGCGGTGAACATCAAACAACCAATGTTATAAAACTGAAAGACATGTCAAACAATTTGTAGTAAAACTCAGGTACATTATAAATGAAAGCTTTTATTTAAATGACATTTTCCACTTAAATAACACTTTGGAATCTTACAGGTGCTTATCTAAGTTCTCCCTATAATAAACATCTGAAGAAACGTTTTTTTTAAACCCTTTGGTTTAAATACACGTTTCGTCCTCAACCATTGTAGTTTGTCTTAGAATGGAACTCGTGGTAGCCACAAGAACATCAATGTTAGCTGACAGTTGGAAACCTGTGAGGTATAATTAGACTCTATGTGAATCACATCTGTTGCAATGCATGTTATGACCTTGTAGTATCCTGATATTTGCCCTGGTCAAAAGGCCGCTATATATTTCAAGCATATACTGTATATGTCTGTATGAATGTCTATACAAGCGAAGAAAATAACCATACTAAATCTATAAATATAACTACTTTTAAATTAGATGATGTTCATGAAAACATCATATCATATGGACAGACTCTTACAATACCATATGCCAACATTTTTATCCTATGCAAGGAAGTCCTTTTAGTTTCACCTATCGAACAGTTACGAGGACCTGCGTCGGCTCACGGACTACTTCGAAACTTTTAAAAATACGACGCACAAGTTATGTCAAACTTCCCAGAAAGATGATACGACATTGAAGTTTATTTGTTCAGGTGCTTTCTTGACATCCCTAAACACGTTTGATTAATGATTCAGTTGTGACACGGGTTTCAAATCGATATAATAATGTATAGTCCGTTTGAGTTCAAATGAGAATGACAAATAATTAAAAAACTTGAAATTTGGATAAGTGCACAAAACATATATAAGACACATGGACCTAAAACCTTTGTACACAACAGGATCTGAAATCCGATCGATCACGGAAACAGTTCTTAAAGGAACCATCGTGACAAACGGCTGATGGAACAGCACCTGATGAGCTGGGGTCATCTCACCTGACAGTGTTGAAATGTCTGCTGGTGCTGTTCCACCAGCCATTTGTCACCCCACGGTGTGAAGCTTGAAAATAGCACAATTTTACATGATGGTTTCTTAAACAAGGGAAGTGCAGCATCTAGATCTTTAGCCAGTCTGTTGATGACATCGTATGTATTTTCCCCCCGATATTTTAAGAATTCCCAACACACGAACCCTTTTTCCATCAACTGTACCGATATGCATCTCGTCTATCTAAGTGCCTAATTCATTTTAATTAAGTGGTAATTACGTAGTTTATACATTGTTTCTAACAAACACAATGAACCTAATGTGTTTTCAGTTTATACAACTTTTTCGACACCAGCAAAATGTATTGGAAACGCTTTTCAGTTGAGTTTTCTGTTAAAAATAAGAATCAGTACATGGTTTCCCTAAATTATGATTAAACATATAATCATTTTTCAACTTTGCTTCCCTCTGTGTTTCTGAAAGATGTACTTTCAAACAAATGAATATTTCCTTTGGTGGCGGCGCGTCATCAGCATGTAGTGGCCTGAGGGAGATTAGACATAGCTGGTAGTAATCAGGATGATGTATATTAAATTAGAATCGGCAGTGGTATAAGTGTCATAAATGATTAATACGAATATATTTCTGATGTACTATGTTGTACAACTCATAAAACATACTCCAGAACTAGAAAGCATTTTGTCAAGAATTTTTGTCCAGACAGTTGTTGGTATTCAAGGAAATTATTCTCTAGCGCCCTTAACGAGGTGTGGAGACCAATTATGTCCTGATCTTACTTCCCAAACATTCTTATTACTCTTGATGAATGATCCTTGTAGTGTCTGCTAATTAAACCTCGTACGACTAACGCTGTTCCTTCAATATCATTGTGGCACTTGTCCAGGAAGGCATAGTAAGGGTCGAGGTCAATTACAAGGGTAATTAACCATTTAGAACGGGTAGTCGTAATGTCATTAAGTTTCTGGACTATTACATTTTCAAACATCATCGTACCACTGGCTATACCAATTAATAAGAATAAGAGAACACCCATCCTGTGTTCTGGAACACACGATAGATACATTTCAGAATATCGTTATTGCCATGTAGTTATAATGTACTCTCCCAAAAATGAAACGCATTATGAAAATAGCAATTTCATGTAGCAATGAATTAAAACGTGATTTATTTTACAAAAGGTTTTGCTCTGTTTATGAGTCGAATGGTGTTTATTTTTGAAACATTACAACAAAACGCACCATCCGTAAAATACCCGTATTTAACAGCATGATTTTCAATTTCGGCGTGTAGTGTCACAGAATACACAATTCACATGCAATGCACGTGAAAGTTTGGGATCAGATAGTCTCAATGATGGGTATTAAAGGTTGATCGCTGTCTGTCGATTATTCACTGTATTTGGAATATTGTTTACGAACGCAAAATGCCACGTCTAAGTGAAGCCAACCGTCATATCGCCATTGGTTTGCTTGAAGCTGGCCAGTCTCAACGTGCAGTTGCCCGACGCATGAATGTTCACCAAAGCACCATTTCACGGCTCTGGGAGAGATATCGCCGGCAGAATGCGGTAGCAGATGCCCTTTGTAGTGGACGACCTCGAGCGACCACTGCGGCGCAGGATCGCTACATCCGGGTACATCACCTGCGTCATCGAACAGCTACGGCGACCAGTACTGCTCGACAAATACCCGGATTGAGGAGGCTTTCTGCACAGGTTTACTTGCCAGAAGACCTTATTTTGGTCCTGTGCTTCGACAACAACATCGTCGACATCGAGTTCAATGGTGCACCAACGTTCAGGCCGGAAATCTACCGAATTGGCGTAGAATCTGGTTCAGCGATGAATCACGATTTCTATTGGAACGACGCGATGGAAGAATTCGGGTGTACAGACGTCGACGTGAACGTTTCGCCGACGCTTGCATTCCCGAGGTGGACAGATTCGGCCGGGGACAGTGTTATGATGTTGGGAGCGATCACCTGCCGTATGAGAAGTGATTTGGTGATGATCCAGGGCAACCTGACAGCTCAACGGTACTGTGACGAAATCCTACGCCCACACCTCCTTCCAATCATTGATCGCCAGAGGGAGTTGTTTCAACAGGACAATGCCAGGCCCCACACAGCACGTCACACTAGAGACTTCCTCCAGAACCACAACATCAATGTGCTCCCCTGGCCCTCAAGATCACCGGACTTAAACCCGATCGAACATCTGTGAGATGCCATGGACAGACGGGTGCGACGCCGTAACTGACTGAATGACTGACTGTTTGGTTTTATGCCGCTTTTAGCGGGGGACACCACAAATGGGCTTCACGCATTGTACCCATGTGGGGATTTGAACCCACATGGACAGATGGGTACGACGCCGTAACTGACTGACTGACTGACTGAGATAGTAGTATAGGTAATGAGAGTCCTGGATCAGTTCCAACAAAAGCCTCTGTAAAAGCCTTATTTCACAGACAGAGGCTTTGGTTGGATGCTACTATTACCCCTACTACGAACACCCCAATGAGTGAATTGTATCATCTATGCCGTGTTGACTGGAGGTAATGCTGTATCATACGGTATGATTAATAGTTCTTCTCTTACAAACCCTCTGCCCGGCCCATCCATCAAGAAGTACAAGTTAGGTTCGTCGGCTTTGATGTCAACTTTATCTATGTTGTAAGTTTTGACTGACCATATCGGATCGGTGGCCCGCTTGCGACTATCGCCCTCATGTTCTCCCGGTTGGTATAGATACCTCACGAGCGCTCGGTCGGGTACTAGCTTCTCCTTACCAACCCGTGATGGAGCAGCCGGTTCGGCCATCACTGATTTTAATTTGATAGCGTCTGCTGGTTTCTTGCCAGTGAGTCGCGTGATTTCGTGGTTGATTGCCGACACCACCTTAGGGAGCCGTTCAACCCATTCCGTCGATCGTTTTCCTGGGTTGGTCATCTCTCTAGCGTACTGGTGCCCAAATAAACGTTCAGCCAAAGTCCTATTAAATCTTTCAACTATGGCTTGACTGCGATGAGCCCCGACAGTACCACGCCTAACCCTTGTATCGTGCTTAGCCAGCAACTGCGATACGACACCCATGAACTCCCGGCCAGGGTCAACTTGGAGCTCTGATGGCCACGTCAGTGGACTGCACTTGTATATACGATCAATGGCTTGAGCCACCTGATTCGAATCTTTCGCGGTTAAGGGCTCCGCTTCCTTATACCGGCTGGCTACATCCACGATAGTCAGGGCATACTTGTAGGTTTTACG